ATGTTAATTGGTGAATATGACCGGAGCATCACGTGGAGAGCGAGTCTCACCTTCGTTAACGCTCATGGAGCTAAATGTTTGGGACTTTTCCACCAGGCATTATGGGAAAGTTTCCGAGCGTTTCTCATCCATCATGATTCATGAAACAAAAAGTACAGCATTAGACCATCAAATCAATCCCTTTCGTCTTATTGGAGTCTCATTTCTCGGTGAGGACGACTTGTTTTGTAGTTTTTCATTCTTAATGCAAATGTAATGTTCCTAAACACGTCACTGTCTCTTTAAACGAGGACGTACAGTTATGTATTTTAGTTAATTGTGTGTCCAGGTTGATGTTCTGAGTTTGTTCATGAATGTCGATGGCTCAGACCTTTCTGTTTTGTGCTACTGTAATAAACGATAAAGTCGTTTTCTTATGTAGATCATTTTTAAGCCATAATGTATGCGAGTATGCTAATCACTCAGTACTGTGTAGGACTATGTATAAAAGCACTATTTTATCATATTCATGAACTAAAAGACCTGATTTATTGTTGCAATTGTTTCTGCTAGACTTGTTTCACTTATTTCTTAAATTTTGCACATAACGTGCATTACTTAGTAGCAGTGTATTAATATTTTTAGTTATTAACATTTATTATTTTTATATTGTTATTTGATTGCACTTTATTTTAAGGTGTTCTTGTTACAGTGTAATTATATATTTAAGTACTAAGTAATATTAACTACATGTACTTTATGGTTAGGGTTTGGTTTAGGGTTACTTGCATGTAATTTTGCATAATTAAGTGTTATTATAATAGTAAGTACAAGTAACGTGTGACAAGGACACCTTAAAATAAAGTGTTACCTGTTACTTTTTATTATTTAATTTAAATTTACTTATTTATATGTATTTTATATATATATATATATATATTTTTTTTTACAGGCCAACATAATTATTTTTTTAAATTTTTTTATAATTATTAAAATTATTAAAATATATATTTTATGAATAGGAGTTTATTTGAATTTTTTTTAAACGGGCTGACAGGAAGTTAGGGGCGGGACTACTGCTTTGTTTAACCAATGGCAGACAAGTGGAGTGTTTGAAACCTGTTTGAAAACAGTAATTATTTTCAAA